TTTGTATTAATTTGCATAGCTGTACGGGAAATATGGCTAAAGTTTTTAGCTTATTTAAATCAGCTTGCTAATATTTTGTTCACAAGGCCACAGGGCATTAAATTACTACTACATATTTTAGCATTTACAAGCAATCAATTATAAGCAATAAAACACTAACAAAAGTTTTAACTTTGTTACAATTTTTTTTGGTATTTTACAATGTACAAAAAAAAAATATATAGAAATAGCAATAAATTTGAATTATTTTACAATTACAATAAGCCTTACTAAACTTATGACCAGAATTGGCAATGTACTTTTTGTCCTATCACTAACTGAATATGTGAACACTAAGTTTTGGCTCTCAAGAAGTCTTATATTAAACTATTGATGCAATAGAGAAATCAGAGAGATGAACGAACACTGGTTATTTATTGTAACAATGGTATGCATTTCAGACAGTCAATCTGTCCCTCTTCGGCCATTCTTATTACAAGTTAAGTCACTGACATCTAAAATACACAAAGTTTACATTATAATAATAGTTATGATATATAAAGAATAGTTTTAATTTAATTAGTAATCATAACTATTGCAGGACCATCTACAGGAGTGACATGTGATTCATTTTGCACTAGTTTGGCCCTCAAAATGTGGGGTTATTCCAACACCACACTCTGAGAATTGGCCTTTGAGAGTATGAGACCCTACAAACTCAGTTTTCCATGTACACTAAAGTTTTTTCCAATTCACAATCATCACTAAGGCAATAAAAAGTGAACATACAAGTATTTTAGACACACTCTTCACTAATATGAGAATGGCAAATTAATTATAAATCACTTCACTGATTTATTTTATCTTAAAAAGTTATTCTCGTTACACAGAAAAAAATGAAACTGTATTTACAGAAAGGAAAGACCCTCCAAGTGCCACACTTCCTAAATTTGTCAACTACAAAAAAGGAGATTTCATTTCAGCTTATCACTACAATCACATCCAATATTAAATTTCGCACTTCTTTTTGTCGTAGTTGTGCGGTGTCTTGACTATTCTTTTTAGGGAGCTTAAGGTACTTTTACTGGTGACACTAGAAACTGGGATGCATAAGGTAATAGCATATTATGTCAAGAAATGTTTTTTTAATTGTCAAAAGACATTGGAGACATTATTCTGGTTCATTAACCTTCTCTGTACTTAGTTCTTTCTTGCTCTGGTTGTTTGAGTCCAATATTTCAGCTAATCCATGATGACATTAAAGTGACTCAATTACTTGCAAAATGAAATTAAGGAATCCTGACTAGTAGGATATTATGCTTATAAATCATGCATTTCCTTATTGGTCATTAGTTATGTGTTTAACTCCCAGTCAAACTTTTAAAGAACATTACTCTCAATTTCTGCAGTGTTGTTGTAAAGTATTCTGAAGTTCTTCAACATTATAATATAATGCTGCAGAACTGAACAGTACCTCCAAGCACATAATATTTGCTTGGAGGCACTGACTTAAGTTCCTGACTTGCAACCAGTGACCTGTCACAAACTGGAATGAGCATAGATTATACAGTCACATGTCTATTAAAAATTATGGATAGTTGAAGCTTTGAGTTGATTCAAAATGTTCAGTCCCTTCCCCTCCAACCATGCAATAGATTATAAAAGATGTACTACTAAATAAGAAGAGAACAGAAATATGGTTTCAGCAACAGCAAGAGGGTGGTCCACAACATTTTACCAGAGATGTAAGTATGCTATTAAACCAAGAATTAGGTCACAGTGGAGGACTTATCAAACATTTCCATGTTCACACAATCACTAAATTACTTTTTATGGGTCAAAGAGAAAATGACGTTTCTACCATCTACTACAAGAAAAGACGTGAAACAGAATATAAGAAAACCATGCTTCAATTACCATCAAAATACACAGAGTTAAAAAGTTTTGTAAAAAGAATAAATGTTTGAATTGTTGCATATTTAATACAAACAAAAACAGTAATAATTGCATTCTAATCAGTAACATCTGATCAACAGTTTCAGTCAACTAACTTGTCCGTCTATAACTCTTAATAGATACATCATGAAGAAATGCTTTATTTAAAGTTTCTTATCTACCATAAAATTAAAAAATATGCATTTTTCTCTAGGATTAATTTAAAATTTCAAAGCTGTCCTTTACAAAAAAAAGGGCAGAGAGCAGTAATCATTGTCACAATGTTCCTTTGAAAACTATATATATATATTAAGACTGTTTGCATCACTCAAGCTGTTAGTTTGTAAGACTTTATTACATGATTTATTTAATTAATATCAAGAATCCATAAAAATAAATCTGAAAAAAGTTTTTAAAACCTTTAATAAAAAATACATTAAATGTAACTTTAATTAAAATGTAATTTCTTCAAGTTGTATTTTGTTATTTATTTATAAATTATAGTATAGCATTTCATCAAATCACATTTACTACCAAGTTAACCAAGCAAACCAGATAATAAATTAATCGGACAAACAATACTATCAATCCAGAAAATGTTTTCGAACATGTTAAATAATCTTCATCAGTCTACACAGAAAGAATACTACAATCATTAAACAGAAAACTGTTACAAATTAAAATGTGCAGCATTGTTTCACAAAATGAATGTTAGAATAAAAAGGCGACAAACATTCAGAGCAAACTGCATAAAAATTTAAGAAAAAGTGACCACAAAGAAATTAATTTAAACTACTTTTAGAATGAAAAATTAATCATACATAAATATTTGAAATAAATTTTAAAAAATCCACAAATTTTTTTTAAAAAAAAGCATCAATAGATGTCTTTGTCTTAAATGAAACAAAAAATTTAAAAATCTTAGAAAGAGAAACAATTCAAGCACTTCGGATTCTTGTCAATCTCAAAAATGTCGAAATTAAATGCTTTTATCTTTAAATACATCAAGAATTACAGACTATTTTTCTAATTAACACATTTTAAATTAGATTGAAAGAATTGTTTTTGCATTGCTTAACCCAGTGATTGAAATCTAATTTATGTTTATTTTTAGATCGAGCAATCCGAGTGGTGAAAGCATCAATGTTCATCTATATATAATCTGATTAAAATATAAAAATTCAGAAATAAAGGAAACAGATTATTAAGTTAAAAAATTCTATTATAAATGTCTATACTACTATTTATTATTTAATTAATTATGTTTTTAATTATATCATAAAAATATAATTAATATTTATTAATAGTGAATTATTGAAAAACCTATTACAGTAAAAATAATATTTGAATTTATAAATTTTAATAATAATAATAATAATAATACAATAAACATATTTGAATTTTTACTTTATTACTCAATATCACAAAATGGCTTGTGTTATAATTTTCATGAACATTTTTTATTTAAATCTAGCTAAAGCTGTAGTTTTTGAGTTTGAAAATTAATATTTTATTTAAAATTCATTAAAGTGATTGATACTTATTTTTTTTTTTTTAAATAATAAACTAAGATAAAAGATTTACTCTATCCACAAAGGATAAGGAGGATGGCAAATATAATAATTATGAAAGTAAAGAGTAGGCTACACCTCCAATTGCCATATATCATCGGGCTAAAATTTGGTAACAATAATTATAAATTACTAATGACGGCAATTGGAGGTGTGTTATTGCAACGTATCAGGTAGTTAAGATGAATGTAAAGAGTTGCTGCGTATAATTAATTACATAAATATATAATTCGAATGCATAATAATTAATGAAAATGTTACCCGTAGGTGGTAATCTATTGTAAAAACAAAGTACAAAGGCATATCTAAAACATTTTGGAGTTTTGGTGGAAAAAAAAAAACATGTTTATAATATAAAAAAATGTAAGCTATTTTTTATTTGTACAGTACATATAAAATTCCTGTAATAAAAAAAATATATTTAATAAATTATTATTATTATTATTATTATAAAATTTAAGTTTGATTTACTAGTAAGTTTTTTTTACCTATAGCATTTATAGTACAGATCAACAGCCCGAAGGATAATCTAACCCACTTGTTGATTCAATTATTGTTCATGAAGTATTAAAAAAAAATTTTTTTTTGTAAGAAAGTGAAAGGAATTTTGTCTGTTATTTATCATCAGTTATATAAATCGGTATCATTAATCTTTGTATAATTCAATTATTAAAGGTTATCGAGACTATTTTAAATAGTTTTAATAATTAATTTCACATATTCGACGACCAATTTTTAACCAATTGCTTAGTCATTCGATTTAATGTTACGGCAACAACATTAACACAATACATATAATTTTAATAAAATTCACAATAGCACATTGCAGATGAAATATGTAGTACAAGTTTAACGTAACAGCTGTTTACGTGTAAAAATCAGCATTTAAAACGTCCGTAATTTAATTACATCAAAATTTTTAATACCATAAAACACTTTGCTGCATCTCTATTATTTCTTTCCCAAAAGAAATTTAAGAAAGATTTTCCAGAATTACGGCTTTGATACAATCAATTTTACACAATTTACAACTCGTAATGTAAATTTATAAGTGGAAAAACTTATTAGGCACATTTAATTATTCTTTTTGCATAAATTAAAGTAAATATTTATAAAATTATTATTATTTATCACAGAAAAATCAACAAGTTATCATGTATAAACTGCAAACATTACATTTTATATTCTTGGATGATAACAAAAGTAAAAAAAATTGTTTGAAATCATCTTGTGTGCATTAAATATAAAGATTTCAGCTGTTTAATCATTATCTCAACTGTTTATATTTGAAATATTGATCAAACCTCCTCCACATTAAACTTATCATAATAATTTATTGCAGAATATTTAAAATTTTTTAAATATTTTCAAAGATACATTAAATATTTCTCCTTAAATCTCTTTTTTACATAAATTTATGTATTAAATTCCTTCATGTTCATGTAATGTGTAAACAAATTACAATTATTAATAAATTATAATGGAAGAAATTAATTTAATTTTTGTAATAAATACCTGTAACAAGGCTTGAAACATTTCATATAATTCCCACGTCGTCTCCATGTTTTAATAGTAAATTATAAAGTTCTTAAATATACAAACACGTTAAAGTGCTATATTCTTTCTTCTCAACTCAACCACTCCCATGTGACTGAACCGTCTCTCACCATCTTTATTGATATAATTGGCGACATCTGTCGGATGATGACTTAATGAATAAATGTTTATTTATTTCTTTAATTTAAAAAAAAAAATAATAATAATAATTATCGCAAAATAAAAAGGCGATAAATTATAATTAATGTTATTTTATAAAGTTTTAAATATTATTTAAAGTATTAATATAACGTTAATTTGTTTTAAGTGGTACGAAAATTTTTTAAAATTTATTAATCAATGTTGTAAGAATGCGGGCGCCATGTTTTATGTTTGCTTAAATGTAAAAAATGGCAGATAAATAAATTTAATTTAAAAGAAAAAAAAAAATAAAACTGTACGTGATATCCGATTGTTTTTGAAATTCTTCTTCTTACACAATTTCGTACGTGATTTACTGCTTCGAGTTATCGCATCCCGCTTTATCAGTGCGATAAGTTATCGGCATTCGAAACGAGTTTACTGAGAAAAAAAACTGTTTATAATTGCGAAAATACTTTTAATTTTTGATTAAAATAATTATAATCTTAAACTATATATCGTATTTTGAAGTGTAAATTTTATTTTCCCGGCCGCATAACAGGGAAAGTATGGCGGTCAAGAAATGATGCCGCCGCTAAGATTTTTACATTTTTGGACTCGGGGTGCTTTCAAACGTCGAGAAATGAAGAAATTTATTATTTTTTAAAAAATAAAACTCGTTTTTATCCTCAAAATTAAGTCTTTTGCCATTTTATAATAATAACTTAAAAGTTTTTTTAAAAAAAAATATCGCGTAACAGATGGCGTTATACACAATTTTAAACTTTTTGACGGGAAAGTCACGCAACTCATTGCTGAATTTTTTTCGATGGAAATTGGATTGGTGACATAATAAAGCAACACAACATATAGGCGTTTTAGATTGTACCTTAACCCGTTACGTTAAAAACGAGCGAGGAAACGGGGATATTCCCCCGAAGAAAAATGTCTGAAGTCAACACTATACAAGGGGTTCCGTAATTCAAATTTGCCCGAACCATGATTATGAATTGGAAAAAAAAAAGCCATAGTTTATATGTGAAACTGAGTTTATAGGTTGCCAATCCCACACTCTCGGGGCCAAAATAGTACAAAATTTCCGGTGTGCCGTCTCTGTCGTTGGTCCTACAATTGTACTAAAGCTTTGTTTAAATTGTATTGTTGTTTCTACGATCGTCCAACAACGCGAAGTACGTTTTGCACTCCCTCCAGGGGTGCAACTGAACGTCAGCCACTGCTTCCACTAATAGTCTCTTCCGACCTAAGAGAAAATCAAATAAGAGAAGAAAGATCGGCCCAAGCGAAATTTTGCTAGAAATTCTTCTTCTATTATAAATATAAATGAACCAAAAGGCTCTTTTCAGAGCCAGTTTATCATCTAAAGAGGAGTCAGATCGTAATAAATACTAGTCAACAGTAGTATTACTAGTAATTGATATTCATGTACAGTAGAACCTCGATTATCCGGACTAATTGGGGATGAAGGTAGTCCGGATAAGGAAAAATCNTTCAGAACAAATTAATGAAATTCCCATAAAAACCTATGGTAAATCGATAATCGGTTAACGAACAAAGTCTTGGAATGGATTATGTTCGTTAACCGATCATCCACTATATTTTGGATTTTGATTAATTCTGTTTATCTTATTAATAAACCGGGTTATTAATTTTTAAATTTGTTATTTTGTTCTGTGAGTATTGTGCCACTAGATATTAAACATGACACATAAAATGAATGATTTTAAAATTTCTTAACCAATATTTTAAAATTAAATTTTATTCGACAAAATTTTATGAAATTTTAGCAAAAAATGTGATAAAATTGAGATACCACTATCCATTTTATTTTATTTTTTACATCATCTAAATTTCTTAAATAATTTTAATGAGTAATCAGATGATTTGTAGCAGAAATAATTGTTATTTATGGAAGGTCGTCAATAACAATTATTTCTGCTACAATTGTATTCTGAACAATGCTTCGATGTTATCTAATAAAAATAAAGTACATTCTCCTGATAAAGAAAAAAATTCTCTTACTCTGGTGTGTTATTCATCTGAATTAACTGAGTCAAACAAACTATTTATACTAGAAAAAGTTTACAAAAAGACTTAAAAATTTTTAATTTTTCAAATATTTTAAAATCAAACTTTTGGATTATAAAATCTTCTACTGTACATTTTAAAAATGCTTTATTAGAGCAGAAAATACATCTCAAACTTGCTCTTGAGCATGACAAATGTTTTGTTTTTCTTTATGTAATTCATAAAGATGCAAGTTCTGATAAAAAGAATAAAATTATTTTTCACAAAATTCTTGAACTCTGTCTTCTTTTGTAAAAAATTTTAAAAAAAAGTTAGAATCCAAAGCATTCTGCTCTTTAACTTCAAAAATCAAAACAAAAAGAAAAATATCAATAATTCTTAGAGTTTCTCTTTCTAGATTACACAACCTCCAAACTTATCAATTGAAAAACTACTGATAAAACTGATGTACAACTTCTATCTACTTTACAACAAAAAGTATGTATGATAATTATGCCAAAATCAACCAAATGGGTCGAACTAATTCTGAAGACTCCCATCAGTTGTTACAGGAAGAAAAAAACTTGGCACAGAAACTTGATGCTATTGTCTGTTGTTTTTTCTGGACTTCCCTGAATTTATTTTTTTCTTCAAGTTTTTGATTAATGTGCTGTCCTCTTTAAATCTTGATACACTGATCTTCAGTTGATTTCTGCTATTTCTTTTAGTGTTTTGCCAGTAGCAAGTTTGTTTTATATTAACCCCTTTTTGGTAAGAAATAAATCACTTTTCTTTCCCATTTTCTTATACATTGAGCTATTGAATTCATTGCCATTAAAACATATGTATAAATTTCTTTATGTAAATTATGCTAAATTATTAATCATGTCACCTATAGATAATTTGTATTAATTTGCATAGCTGTACGGGAAATATGGCTAAAGTTTTTAGCTTATTTAAATCAGCTTGCTAATATTTTGTTCACAAGGCCACAGGGCATTAAATTACTACTACATATTTTAGCATTTACAAGCAATCAATTATAAGCAATAAAACACTAACAAAAGTTTTAACTTTGTTACAATTTTTTTTGGTATTTTACAATGTACAAAAAAAAAATATATAGAAATAGCAATAAATTTGAATTATTTTACAATTACAATAAGCCTTACTAAACTTATGACCAGAATTGGCAATGTACTTTTTGTCCTATCACTAACTGAATATGTGAACACTAAGTTTTGGCTCTCAAGAAGTCTTATATTAAACTATTGATGCAATAGAGAAATCAGAGAGATGAACGAACACTGGTTATTTATTGTAACAATGGTATGCATTTCAGACAGTCAATCTGTCCCTCTTCGGCCATTCTTATTACAAGTTAAGTCACTGACATCTAAAATACACAAAGTTTACATTATAATAATAGTTATGATATATAAAGAATAGTTTTAATTTAATTAGTAATCATAACTATTGCAGGACCATCTACAGGAGTGACATGTGATTCATTTTGCACTAGTTTGGCCCTCAAAATGTGGGGTTATTCCAACACCACACTCTGAGAATTGGCCTTTGAGAGTATGAGACCCTACAAACTCAGTTTTCCATGTACACTAAAGTTTTTTCCAATTCACAATCATCACTAAGGCAATAAAAAGTGAACATACAAGTATTTTAGACACACTCTTCACTAATATGAGAATGGCAAATTAATTATAAATCACTTCACTGATTTATTTTATCTTAAAAAGTTATTCTCGTTACACAGAAAAAAATGAAACTGTATTTACAGAAAGGAAAGACCCTCCAAGTGCCACACTTCCTAAATTTGTCAACTACAAAAAAGGAGATTTCATTTCAGCTTATCACTACAATCACATCCAATATTAAATTTCGCACTTCTTTTTGTCGTAGTTGTGCGGTGTCTTGACTATTCTTTTTAGGGAGCTTAAGGTACTTTTACTGGTGACACTAGAAACTGGGATGCATAAGGTAATAGCATATTATGTCAAGAAATGTTTTTTTAATTGTCAAAAGACATTGGAGACATTATTCTGGTTCATTAACCTTCTCTGTACTTAGTTCTTTCTTGCTCTGGTTGTTTGAGTCCAATATTTCAGCTAATCCATGATGACATTAAAGTGACTCAATTACTTGCAAAATGAAATTAAGGAATCCTGACTAGTAGGATATTATGCTTATAAATCATGCATTTCCTTATTGGTCATTAGTTATGTGTTTAACTCCCAGTCAAACTTTTAAAGAACATTACTCTCAATTTCTGCAGTGTTGTTGTAAAGTATTCTGAAGTTCTTCAACATTATAATATAATGCTGCAGAACTGAACAGTACCTCCAAGCACATAATATTTGCTTGGAGGCACTGACTTAAGTTCCTGACTTGCAACCAGTGACCTGTCACAAACTGGAATGAGCATAGATTATACAGTCACATGTCTATTAAAAATTATGGATAGTTGAAGCTTTGAGTTGATTCAAAATGTTCAGTCCCTTCCCCTCCAACCATGCAATAGATTATAAAAGATGTACTACTAAATAAGAAGAGAACAGAAATATGGTTTCAGCAACAGCAAGAGGGTGGTCCACAACATTTTACCAGAGATGTAAGTATGCTATTAAACCAAGAATTAGGTCACAGTGGAGGACTTATCAAACATTTCCATGTTCACACAATCACTAAATTACTTTTTATGGGTCAAAGAGAAAATGACGTTTCTACCATCTACTACAAGAAAAGACGTGAAACAGAATATAAGAAAACCATGCTTCAATTACCATCAAAATACACAGAGTTAAAAAGTTTTGTAAAAAGAATAAATGTTTGAATTGTTGCATATTTAATACAAACAAAAACAGTAATAATTGCATTCTAATCAGTAACATCTGATCAACAGTTTCAGTCAACTAACTTGTCCGTCTATAACTCTTAATAGATACATCATGAAG